AGGACAGAACCTATAGGAAAGGAAAAGTAACATCACTCACCACCTCCTCAAAAGAAACCCAGTCATCGCACACAGGAGAAAAATCATATGCGGCAGAAGCCAACAAGTAGACATAATTCTCATTAAGTTTAGAGTTGTCTTCAAGAAAACTGTATTATAGGATTTCTGTTTGGAGGCCAAAATATGTTATTTATTGAAAATATCAACAAGAAAAAAATGTTTTTCTTTATACTAGTTTTATATCTCCCACCTGTTCTACCTAAAGAGCAAGTTTTGGGCATGCAATAAATCCTTTCATACCAAGATGAGAACTTCATAGTCTAGTGGGGCTATGCATGCAGTAGCCATTTATTTTCCTTCCCACTTTTTTATAAGAGGAAAATATGATAAAAACCAAGCTGCTTCCTGAGCAGCAGACCTAATGAAGCCTCACTTCTGAATTTGTTCTCCATATTTTACACTGCAGTAGCTTTTTTTCTTTGCATGTGTCCCTGAGCTCCACAGAGCATCCCTTGTCCCCCATGAGTCCCCACAGCACCTGGAGCTTCTTCTGAGGTCCCCTACTAATAGACTTTGCCCATCTGCATGGGCCTAGGACAGCCCCACAGCCTGGCTTGTGCAGAGGCGCGTGCCTGCTGCCTGTCCAAAGCACACACCGGGCATTCCTCCCTCACTAATAGGGTCTCTGCCCTCCACCCAACCCTGATTTTAGCAAAACTTTCAGGATGAAAATATTTGCGAGCTTTCCCTGGGACTGAAAACAGCAACTAAAAGCAGCTCGGCAAGCCAGGGCACACTCGCTGCCTGCAGTGCCTCCCACATCACATTTTTGTGCTCAGCTTTAATCTGACTAGTTTAGGAATACCTGCTCTACTGCAGTCACAACTCTGATTATATCAAATTCAGCCTTGTAGAAGGCAGCCACAAAAGCCAAAAATGAAGTTAGAAAAGAAACTCCTTTGCACATCACCATATCAATTCCAAAAGCAGCAGACTCCATATGAAGCAGGCTAGAGTCCCTAGAGTTGAATTAAATATCACTGCAAACAAATACCTTCTTCTTTCATACACATTTTGGTTTAAATTTGTGGCTTGACATGAATGTTTGTATAGTATGTTAGTCACACATATAAAGCACATCACAGGTACTGTACAACCTCCTAGAACTTTTCCTTCTGTGTTTCCTGACTCTTGGGGTTACACATGTGGAAACACTTACAACATTGAAGAGTCCAAGTGCAATTATCAGAGCTGTCAGAGTTTCCTTTCAGTAACTTTTTTTTTTTAATACTTTTTGTTCTTTTATACATGATAATAATGATAGCAATAACAATGTATGGCATATCATTTGATGGTATTATTGATAAATAATAAATAACCCAGCTATCCTTTTTTTTGCATCTGTAGTATCAGTTAATAAAGAGACGTGTGGGGATACACTGCATTAGCATTAGAAAGATGTTCTAAATACACAAGGGCAGAGCTGTGGTTCCTGTGAAACCACTGATGGTTGCAGAATAAAAACCCTCCTGTAAGGTAAATAATGGATGGAGTAAGTAACAGCCAGATGCAAGCAAGAAAAAAAAAATACATTCAGCTGAGTTTTGAGAAGAGCTGGGGTGGGGGAAGGAAGAAAGCAGGAGAGACTTTCTGAGTCAGGAGGGTACATTCAACTTACAGGGCTTTCTAAAAGTTGAAAAGTTCCTGAAGCAGCAAGAAAATGCAGAGGGAGACAGATTTCACAAAGGCAGGCTGAAGGCAGGCTCTGGAGAACATATCAAACAGCACCAGAGTTAGTAATGCAGGTAAATTGTTTTCCCAATGGGCTCTCAAAGTTACTGTTCTCAAATGTTGTGGAGACAGGTGCCGTCCTGATGGATGTCAAAGATTGCAGGAGTCTAAATGAACAGGGAGTTTATTTAAAAAAAAAAAAAAAAAAAGCAACCCAGCAAAAAACCAAACCAAACCAAAACCAGGAAACTTTATTATGTAATCAGAAATAATTATGGGAAATTTTAGTCTTTTAAACATACTGCTGCATTGCCATCAACCAAGACTTCAACCATAACTTAGAAGTTCATGCCTATTAGCTGTAGTTTTTCGGTCTGGAAACTCAGCTATGATTATTACACAAAATCTCTTTCTCTAGGTCTCTTGCAGTTCTCATATTCAACTGGCTGAAAGGCACCACGAGACCAGAATTTCTTAGAGAATTTTTTAAATGCCCTTGTTTTATTAATCTTTCTTGACAAAAATGAACTAAAATTCTGAATGGATACAGAGTTTGTGTCCCTCTGTACTTAAAAGCAATCAAAAGAGACCAGGCTGTTCATTAAATTTACATGTAAAATGGTGTATGTCGTGCTCCATTTCAACTGATTTACCTACTCCTACTACAAGTGTTTTCCTAAAGGCAATAAACCCTTCCAGTGCAAATATTTCCTTCCAGAGCTGTGACATACCCTGATGTATATTGTCTATTCAAAATAAACAAGTACTGAAAACAGCTTTTTACATCACTACAGCTTTTTACATCACTGCAAATATAAACCAAGATCTAGCAATTACTTCTCAGATAATAGTTTTCCTCTTGGAAATATAATCTTCTGGAACAGATATATTCAATAGATCAGGATAGTCCTGGACAAATAGTCCTTGATAAATGACCAGCTAAGTCTTACGGGCCAAAACTCTGTTAAATATGTCACAATAAGCATAGCACCAGGATGGGATGTGGTCAAGCTGTGACCGAACATCATATCTATGGACAGTCTGTGGATCATGGGCTTCAAAGTTTTCTCTATATAAGTTTAGCAGTTTTTTTCTACAATGTTTTTAAAAATCATATTGTTTAGACGAATAGGGAGATTTCTAACATGCTTATTAACACAAAGAGCTTATCAACACAAAGAGTTTTTTAATCCCCCCCCACCCCCCCAAAAAAAATCATTATTTCCATAACTATTCAGCAGCTGTAGTAATTTGAAAATTTTATGCAGTTCCTATTAATGAATTATTGTGGCAATATGTTAGACTTAAAAAGAAACCAACTGCTACCACATTCCAACATGTTTCTCAGGCCTTTTGACAGCTCTAAATGTTTCTGGAATAAACTTAATTTTTTCAAACGATAGGACTGTGAGAACCAAGACTGCTTTGCACAGCAAGAGTGCTGGGGGATTGCAGCTTTATAACCAAGTGGGACCCTGAAATCTGACATCAGCTCCTAAAGCCACACTCATCAGCACCTTTGATCTTGTTACTGAGATTATGAATAGACGCATAGCACACCCCAAAACCAACAAGAACAAGTCAGATTTACTTACATTGAAACAGAGCAAACCACCAAATGTTTCCACTCTATTTCCACAGCACTAACAGCATCAGGCACACCACAGCTCGGTCAGCAGCGGCAGCTCCCTAGCTCTGCTTTGAAGCTAGCAGTTTTGATACTGAGTCTGTGAAGAGTAAAACACAGCTCTGAGGTTTCTTTTCGATCTGTGAGGTTTTAGCCATATAGCTGTAGATCTAATATATCGGCATCACCTGGTGCAGATGATATTCTGAAGCTGAGAAAGTTGCCTATAGTCATCTTGGGAGCCTGTATCAGGAAGGCTGCTGGCACACAGTGTTACACTTTGCTCTTTCCACTTGACCATGACAATGCAAGGATAAGACATTTACAACCTGGATTCACCTGACCAGTTTTAGACTTCTAAGTGCTTTTGAGGTGTGATTCATCCCAGGAGAGAGATCAGGCAAGCACCTATTTTACTTCATCAACCGTAATAGGAGTCAAGGGTGCTTAGCTGAGACACAGACACCTGCACCATTGACGGTTTCAGTTAAGGATCCAGCAGATATCTCAAGTCATCTAATTTCTCTCTAGCTGCATGTCTCAAAAAACAAAGTGCCACAGGGAAAATGATATTAATAAATCCCAAACCCAGGCAATGCATTTGTGAAGTACCACAGGATCGATGCGAACAGACTGGAAATCACAACTTCAGGGCTCATAACTTACAAGACAACCAGATTCTTCAGATGTTTCTGTTCTGTTTCTGTGATTACACCAAAAATTGCTTTAATCATCCAGCTGTTTTACACTCCTCATTCAAATTAATCCAGCTACTGCACATTCCAAAGCACAGGAACAGACACACACTTACTAAGATATATTTACACTAATCTGACCCAAATCAGTGCTACTCATCCAGGATCAAATTCCATCCCAATGCGAGCAGCCAAAGTGAGTTAAACTTGCAACATAAAGTGCCACCAGAGTCCAATTGTGAGAACTCAAGTATCATTTAAGAATCATGCTACTTTTCTGCAGTCAGCACAAGTCTAGTCCTTGAGATTTATTCTCCCATTTCATGGGCAAGAGCCATATGGCCTACCACACTCTGCCTCCTAAGAAGGACATTTCACAGATACGCTGCAAGCATGGTTGGATGAGCATTTTCTTAAGTTGCATGGACCAATTCTCAACAGCTAATTGTCAAGCAGGGCCATATGGTTAAAGGCATTTAGGCATTGCAAGGCCTAAACAAGTAAGGAGCTAATACCACATTGCTCACTCAGAGAGCCATCTCTTCTTCACAGCACTGTCCCCCAAAGAAACGAAGTGTAAGTTCCTAAATGACCTTGGACATGGAGTGCCGCACAGGAAGTCCCAACCTAGCACTGAACATTTTAGCTGCTGAAATAACCTGCTGAAGGTGCATCATTGCAGCTTCCATGCCAAACTAGAGGCCCTGCTTTTCTGCACTCCCCTGGGAAAACTGCAGCAGCTAGGAGAGATTTAGCTATATCTTACTCTGCTGTGTAGATATAGCCTCAGGACCACAAAGGTAGAACTCCAACTCCTTCAACAGCATTACAATACTAAACAGTAGGGGTATTTACAGCCTTTAAAAAACCTAGTCTTCGTTGCCTGAAACCCTACAGCAAGATTGCTTGCCATCTGTCTAATTAAATTGACCATTTGTCCCTATTAGAGGCAGCTGTGCTACTTAAAGCAATTAAGGTGGCACAGGAGGGAAGTAACATTTTTGGTTTGGGAAGAGTGTTTGCAGCACTGACAGCATTGAAACATTCTTCACTACGAAGAAGTGACATTCTTAAGTATGTAACGAAAAGAGGCATTCACAAACATGAGCCCTTTCAGAAGTTCAAATTCAAGAAATGTGTTTCCTTAAAAATATCCTTTGTTCCTATTGAGGAGATTTGCACCAAATAAAAGAATTGTGTCTCTGACAATGCAAAGCATTTGTAGTCACTGGCCACAGTTTTAAAGCATACACATTTGCCTTTTGATATAGGACATCTGTGAGCTAGCAACAGTAATAAATCTGAATTTTAGCACAGATCATTTTCCAAGTTTTAGGTCAAATGCTATCAAATTGAACTTATCAGCTCATTAAGATAAAACAAGCCCTTTTGTCATTAGCTTTCTGATTAGCTGTCTTGTTCCAGAACCTGGGACACAGTAAATAGGTTCCTTTTTTTCCTGTAACATAGTGTGAATGCTTAATGCCCACTGGTTTTCCTTATAAATCATACACAGGGAAATCACTGCTTGAGCCCTTGCTAGAAGAGCAGAATGTGATGATTTCAGCGCGTTTCAAAAGAGACATTCCTAAAATAGCTAACTGTTCTGTAATTTTACCACAGTATAAGGCCTGAGCTTAATGGTTAGGTTCCCTGGTTTGCAACCATACTGGTTTTGATCTTGTCAGAGTTCAAGCTACACAATGATAGGCTTTTGAGCTGGATACTTTGAGAGTAGCAGTATTTGTGTTTCATAGGTGGCAGCCTTCCCTATAAGCAAACATGAAAAATGGGCTGCAGCCTTGCAGAGCTCTTTACTGCAGGAAACTGTCCTTTTGTTGGGCGCAGAGCGCAGCGTCCACAGGCACAGCCCTTTGCAGGTATAAGACATGGGAAAGAAAGAATTGTGCCATATGGGGAGAGGTAAAATAGTCACCATTGTAGAAAGGAGGACTTGCGTTCTCCAGAATGCCTGGAAGAGCTCCAACAAATAAAAGTGAAGCTGTATGTCACATCTCAGGTCTTGTGCTGGGGTAGCTGTAAGGAAGATACAAAACAAATTACCTTCTTTTAATACGTTTCACAAAATGTGTTCTTATTTTAGAGTCTACATATCGTCACCAGGCTACCATTGATGATGAAGTCGTTTCCATGGAGATACTAGATACAGCTGGTCAGGTGCGTGGGTACATGTACTATTATCCAATACCTTGGCTCAGATAGACGGCAGGGAAGGGGAGCGTGGTGGCGGCAGCAGTGCGGTGGGTGGCAGGTGTGATCTGCTTCTGGGGACAGAGATTTGCTTCTGACAGAGCCCCCCCTCCTCCACCACCATCAGCTTGCTGCTGGACCCAGCATGCTGGATCCAGACCCTTCTGCAAGGGACCCTGCTTAGAGTTTTCGAACGCTGGAAGAACAAACAAAGTCAGGGTTTACTCTGGGATTAAAATGATTTAGTTCTCATTCCTTGATTCAGGGCCAACCCAACAACACATTATTACTATGCATGAAGTCACAGTCTATTTCTACAGTCAAGCGATGAGGCTTGACAGCCTCAGTCAATGAATCCCACCAAAGTGAAGAGCAGTTTTGTCATAGCCAGTCCCCTTTCCTTTCAAAACATGGCAGATACTCATGCTGCATAGTCCTATGCGGTTTGTGTGCTGGGTATCATTCCACAGAGACCCTGTTCCAATTCCGTGCTACCAGCCTGCCCACAGGGAGCCCATGACACCTTGGTAGAGTGGATCTCCTATGCTACGTGATAAAGAAGGTGACATGCATAAAGTATAAAGTAGAGCAGATGTATATGGCTTTTCAGGCTTTGGAGGACCAATGTCTATCTGAAGGCCTGGTGTCTTCTTCATAAATCAAATTCCTAAGGCTGGTGTCTGTCTTTTCAAAACAGGAGGATGCTATTCAGAAAGAAGGACATGTGCGATGGGGTGAAGGCTTTGTGCTGGTTTATGACATCACGGACAGAGGCAGCTTTGAGGAAGTGCTGCCACTTAAGAACTTGTTGGATGAAGTTAAAAAACCCAAAAATGTCACCCTGATCCTGGTGGGGAACAAAGCAGACTTGGATCACTCCAGGCAGGTCAGCACAGAGGAAGGTGAAAAGCTGGCCACAGAACTAGCATGTGCTTTTTATGAGTGCTCTGCTTGCACAGGAGAAGGCAACATTATGGAGGCCTTCTATGAGCTCTGTCGTGAGGTACGGCGTCGAAAGATGGTCCAGGGCAAGACTCGGAGACGAAGCTCCACCACCCACGTCAAACAGGCAATTAATAAGATGCTTACCAAAATCAGCAGTTAAAAAGAGCTGTACTAAGCCAGAGGAGCATTTTAGAGCATATTAGCTTGGAGTAGGGACAAGGCAGGCAGAGCACATTTAATTAAAAATGGGCAAAGCTTTGCAATTAAAGAAATAGAAAAGACAAACCACACACACGGGGTCAGACTTTTTTCCTGTTTCAAGATGTATTTAGCCACACTGCTTCTGGCTAATGTGAAAAAAAAAAAGGGGGGGGGGGGGGGGGGGGGGCAAGGAGGCAAAAAACAAAAGCAAACTCCAAAGGACTAGATGATTGTGGGGATTGGCACTGCCAGAGCATCTTCTGCTTCTACAAGGCTGGCTCCAATCCCCTGCAAGTCAGTAGTGCCTAAACATCATTTCCAGCCAGCCAGCTGCTCAGTAGCCACTGGAGAGTAAGAATCAGTCCTCAGTCCCTCAACAGCTATCACAACCAGTGTTCTCAAGGACTGAATACATGTAGAGGCTGCTGTGTTTCACCAGGAAGTTCATCTGACACCTTTCACCCGCTCTAGATTGGCGCGTTGTGTGCTTTTACTCCAAACTGTCCTTCCTTGTTGTTATTTTTGTCAAATCTATGAGTGCTGATGTTCTTAGTGAGGTATGCAAAAAATACAGGAAAGGTCTTTTTCATGGAGCGTTTAGCCAGCAAGACACACATTTCAGTAGAGCTGAAGTTCAGCTGCTCTTCCAGATCCTCTGAAACTGCAGAATTCATCCAGAAATAATCAGCTAGTCCAGTGGCATTTCAGCATTTCCCCCTTGAAGTGCAGTACTGTACTTGGGGAGATGAGAGTGTATGTGTTGGGAAAATAAACTAAAAAAAAACATATTACTATTGATTTAGTTATGGGTAGTTTTTAGCTTTTGTTTACTTTTTTGTTTTGGTCTTATTTCAATTCTCATCTTATACTGAAGAAGAACTGAATCCATGGGAAGGCAAGTGTTTAAAGTCTAAGCCCAAATGTAAATCAGATGTGAATAGCCTCTACCATATCAAAAGGCCATAATTTCCAGCTGTTTAAACTTCCAGATGTTGCTTGAAGCACTCTGTTGTTTAAACCAGCACAATTTTTTTGTGACTCTATCTGGCATATTCAACTGAAAGTGCATTTTATCAGATTTTCGTGCCTGGGATAAAAGTTGTCCGTTTTTTTCTCCTCCCTCCTCCTCCCTCATGTGTCTCATTTAAGGCAGTTTTGCCTTCTAACTTGACTTGTTAACTGTATGCTAAGAGATGCAAGAACCAAGACTGAAAGACTTTCATTCAGATCATGCTCATCTCCCACCAGTTGTGTTGCATCCCTTTAGGCAGCGTGGTGTGCAGCTTAGACTGGCATCATGTAGAACCGCAGCCAAAGGTTGGGATGACAAATGGGAATATTAGAAGTATTCCTCTTTGAGGAGCAGCCCTCTTGTAGCAACTACTTAGAACTTTATTCTCCACTGCTTTGTACTTCATGTGGTTATTTGACCCTGTGAGGAAGTAACACCAAAAGGCTGTCAAACGCAAATTGCCACAGATGTAAGAGAGTGAGGATATACACTTTATACAGTTATAGGTAGCCATATAAGAGGTGGAACTGGCTGGAGGATCAAGCCTTTATATCCCTATGAACAGAGAAAAGTCCCAAGTCAGTACTTTTCAAAAGGATTCACTTAAAGTTACTATACCAAAGTAATTTTTTTTTTTAAACATTCTCTCACCCGTATCTTTTACCCAACCAGCATCAAAGAACATCACATTCAGTTTTGTATTTTATTTGTACTGTTGTTTATTTTTTCTGTTTCCCCCATTCTAGACAGTGAAAATTCATTCCTCTCTTCTGGAATCAATATCTATATTTTGGTCCTCATATTCAGGTATGTTGCCAGACACCAGCTACACACACTGCAATGGAAGCTTCACCACGTGCTTCTGGGCAGGGGGCTCTTGCAACAGGTGATGGCGTTATCTCCATGACACACCTGCGCCCAAACTATTGGTTATATCTCTAACTTTTGTTTAAAAAAAAAAAAAAAAGAGAAGTTTTGCCATTTTTAGTCCTATTAGTAACGCAGAATCAATAAGAATTTAAACAAAAGAGTTAGTGCCTGTTCACATACCAGTAGTCATTAGCTGAAGGTCTGAACTTGCAAGCGTGTATGCTACCTTAGGAGCCAGAGAGAGCATTTCACTATGTCATTCTGTTACCTTTCAAATCAGTGCTGTTGCACAAATCTGAAGTTAAAAAAGTCCTTACCTGCAATCCCATGGCAACATAGCTGAGAGGAAAGTCTTTATGTCGGTATGCTAAGCAATTGATTTATCCCCCTCTAAGACAACTTCAACAGTTCTTTTCTCTGAAAACCTTTCTTGGGGTTCAGAGTTGAGCTGCATTTAAAGTATGAAAAGGTAATATATGAATGACAAGAGAAAATACATTAATCATATTTATATTAGGAGAGTTGAAAGGAAGGAGGGGCTAAGTTATGGCCCTAATACTTTCCAAAAGAATCCCAGCAAATTTTATCTTCTTTCATAAAGTCTGTATGGAGAAATTATGAAATCCTGGTGAAAGAAAATGTTCCACTGTGCAAACATGACTTGTTACATAAAGAACCTCTGTAAAAATAGTAACATTCCTTTGCAAAGACTGAATTTGGAAACTGCCGAATATGATAAACACTCAGTCAAAAAGGAGGCTGCTATTTTGTGACCTTTCCTCCCACACAAACACAAATTTCTTTACTTAATTGCTCATTGATTTTTTTTTTCCTTGGTGTAACAGGCTGCTTGTCAGGCCAGTTACAATATAGTATATTATAATCTGTTGATACATACTACATAGTACGAAATGCAATCTGATTTGCTGTTGCTCACAATGTTGCAACATATTATTGGCTATGCTACGAATGTGTCATATTTCTACAATGTGCAAATTGAGCCAAAAAGTGCCCAAGCATTGAAAAGGCGAAAGGCAACATGTACCCACATTCGGTAGCCTTTCTGCAGCAGACGTCAACAGTTTAAATTCTGTTTCTACTGCTGCTATTTAAATGTACATATATGACACTAACATTAAATTCCTCTCCTCTGCCCATTATCATTTCTGCAGAGAGAGGATGGGAAGGACAATAAACAAAAAGGGGGAGGAAAGGTGAAATGGATACTTGTTACCTACAACAAGTTGATTGTCATTTATGAAGTTTTTAAATATTTATCTTCAATTGATGAAGAGTTAGTCATGCCCATGCTGCAAGACCTGGATCAGGAAACAAGACTTCCCTAGAACTTTGAGAATCTTCATATCTGGGGGTTCGGTGCAACCACGGATGGAAGTGAGGATCAGCCACTGGGTTTGCACCTGGATCCAGACAAGTTGTCCCCAAAACTGGGGATAGTTGCATCTGGCAGTTTGCTACAAGGCTAGTTGATTTTTATATATATAATGATCTGTATGCATTTTTACATTAAAAATATGAAAGCTTGTGCTTGTAGATAATATATAAGAAAAAATAAAAATATAAAAAATAGTGCTGTCTGTACTGAACTGTTACACTTCCATTAGTTGTCTCCGACGTGTTGTCTTCCAGCTTTTAAGGGGACAGTTCCAGAAGTCCTGATTCAGTTTTGATTTAATCTTTATCTAAGGAAAACAAAACAGTGAATTTTGCCTCAATAAGCACTTTAGCATTTGGATCAGTTTATTTGAATTTATTTGGCTGCTAGGCCTGGACTTGAGAGGTCAGGCAGCATCTACAGTGAAGCACAGAACCGAATGTCCTTGCTAACTATTTCAAGGCTGATCAAAAAAAGCTACAGTGCCAGAGTTATTAAATGACCTCAGTGAAACCCACCACCTAAACTCTTTCCTGCCAACTAAATAACATGGATCTTGATCCCAAGATTCTCAGGTAAAATCTTGGGCTGAGAGGCCTGGAAGATTTATGCCAGCGATTTGGACAGAGACAACTTTTCACCTGCTCCCAGCTATGCCCCTTTTCCAAGGATAATGGTGCTGCTGTTCTGAAGAGAAGGTACCTTATGTAAGGTACATTATATCAATGGTACACAATCACACATAGTGTGGGTATTAAGCTATAGCAGAGGAAGCTTCATTGCAGAAGAGGGGAACCAGCTGTAATCCACACTCTTGTTTTCCTCCAAACCTGGGCCAACCAAGTGACACAAAGCATGATCATAAGCAGCTGAACTGCAGTGGGGGTGTATGAATGCCACCTCTGGCAGAGCACCACATGCAATCTGGGTGCAGGACATATGCTGCGAGGTGAAACCTCCCAAAACTAGGTAAGGCATCCTTCCAGTCACTGTCTGCCTCTAGCACTGCAAAGCACCCTTGAGTTATGTCAAGTTGCACTATAACTTGCTCCAGTCAAAATAATGTTTTGTGCAAAATAAGTAGCTGCAGTCATAAAGGCTATGTATAAACAGTGTTTGGGCTTCCTTTTATCTTTCTCTTTAATGGCTTAATCCATTTGCATATCTTGAGAAGAAAAGAAAAAAGATAGAGGCTTTAATTAAAAAAGGCTGCTTGGCATTTTGATGTATCTGCCTTTACGTTCTTTGAAAAATTAAACATATAATGAAAACAGTGTCACTTTATTTCCGTTACAGATGCCAGGCACTAATTACTGCTGGGTTATGAAAATACAGAGCAGCGGCTTGTCGTCCCGTGCTTTGCAAGGTTACTAAGAGGCGATAATGATGGCTTGTGTGAGGTCAGTTCAGCCTGGTTTCTGTTAACACAGTTCCACATGAAGAAAGCTATTACTGCAGCTTGCAGCAGAGACAGGCCAAGTTCCCAGGAGCAGGACCCCACTGACTCCAGCAGGGTTATGCACGGGACGGGTCAAGCCCCTGGTTCCCAGCCTTGGTAGCCAACATGTGGAGGAAGCACTCCAGTACCCAACCTCTCTCATCCACTTGAAGAATCTCTCCTCCATTTTCGGTCTGAAGTAGACCAGTAGGAAACTGGGAGGTAAGTTTACACTGCTGACTGTCATCTATTAAATTGGAGAATACAATG